TCTGTACATTTTATCATAGGTACACTTCAACTGTGAGAGACGGAATCTAAAACAAAAATCCAGAAAATCACATTGTATGATTTTTAAGTAATTAATTTGCATTTTATTGCATGACATAAGTATTTGATCACCTACCAACCAGTAAGAATTCCAGCTCTCACAGACCTGTTAGTTTTTCTTTAAGAAGCCCTCCTGTTCTCCACTCATTACCTGTATTAACTGCACCTGTTTGAACTTGTTACCTGTATAAAAGACACCTGTCCACACACTCAATCAAACAGACTCCAACCTCTCCACAATGGCCAAGACCAGAGAGCTGTGTAAGGACATCAGGGATAAAATTGTAGACCTGCACAAGGCTGGGATGGGCTACAGGACAATAGGCAAGCAGCTTGGTGAGAAGGCAACAACTGTTGGCGCAATTATTAGAAAATGGAAGAAGTTCAAGATGACGGTCAATCACCCTCGGTCTGGGGCTCCATGCAAGATCTCACCTCGTGGGGCATCCATGATCATGAGGAAAGTGAGGGATCAGCCCAGAACTACACGGCAGGACCTGGTCAATGACCTGAAGAGAGCTGGGACCACAGTCTCAAAGAAAACCATTAATAACACACTACGCCGTCATGGATTAACATCCTGCAGCGCACGCAAGGTCCCCCTGCTCAAGCCAGCGCATGTCCAGGCCCGTCTGAAGTTTGCCAATGACCATCTGGATGATCCAGAGGAGGATTGGGAGAAGGTCATGTGGTCTGATGAGACAAAAATATAGCTTTTTGGTCTAAACTCCACTCGCCGTGTTTGGAAGAAAGAAGAAGGATGAGTACAACCCCAAGAACACCATCCCAACCGTGAATCATGGAGGTGGAAACATCATTCTTTGGGGATGCTTTTCTGCAAAGGGGACAGGACGACTGCACCGTGTTGAGGGGAGGATGGATGGGGCCATGTATCACGAGATCTTGGCCAACAACCTCCTTCCCTCAGTAAGAGCATTGAAGATGGGTCATGGCTGGGACTTCCAGCATGACAACGACCCGAAACACACAGCCAGGGCAACTAAGGAGTGGCTCCGTAAGAAGCATCTCAAGGTCCTGGAGTGGCCTAGCCAGTCTCCAGACCTGAACCCAATAGAAAATCTTTGGAGGGAGCTGAAAGTCCGTATTGCCCAGCGACAGCCCCGAAACCTGAAGGATCTGGAGAAGGTCTGTATGGAGGAGTGGGCCAAAATCCCTGCTGCAGTGTGTGCAAACCTGGTCAAGTCCTACAGGAAACGTATGATCTCTGTAATTGGAAACAAAGGTTTCTGTACCAAATATTAAGTTCTGCTTTTCTGATGTATCAAATATTTATGTCATGCAATAAAATGCAAATGAATTACTTAAAAATCATACAATGTGATTTTCTGGATTTTTGTTTTAGATTCCGTCTCTCACAGTTGAAGTGTACCTATGATAAAAATTACAGACCTCTACATGCTTTGTAAGTAGGAAAACCTGCAAAATCGGCAGTGTATCAAATACTTGTTCTCCCCACTGTGTATATATATACAGTGGGGAGAACAAGTATTTGATACACTGCCGATTTTGCAGGTTTTCCTACTTACAAAGCATGTAGAGGTCTGTAATGTTTATCATAGGTACACTTACACTGTGAGAGACGGAATCTAAAACAAAAATCCAGAAAATCACATTGTATGATTTTTAAGTAATTAATTTGCATTTTATTGCATGACATAAGTATTTGATACATCAGAAAAGCAGAACTTAATATTTGGTAAAGATACCTTTGTTTGCAATTACAGAGATCATACATTTCCTGTAGGTCTTGACCAGGTTTGCACACACTGCAGCAGGGATTTTGGCCCACTCCTCCATACAGACCTTCTCCAGATCCTTCAGGTTTCGGGGCTGTCGCTGGGCAATACGGACTTTCAGCTCACTCCAAAGATTTTCTATTGGATTCAGGTCTGGTGACTGGCTAGGCCACTCCAGGACCTTGAGATGCTTCTTACGGAGCCACTCCTTAGTTGCCCTGGCTGTGTGTTTTGGGTCATTGTCATGCTGGAAGACCCAGCCACGACCCATCTTCAATGCTCTTACTGAAGGAAGGAGGTTGTTGGCCAAGATCTCGCGATACATGGCCCCATCCATCCTCCCCTCAATACGGTGCAGTCGTCCTGTCCCCTTTGCAGAAAAGCATCCCCGAAGAATGATGTTTTCACCTCCATGCTTCACGGTTGGGATGGTGTTCTTGGGGTTGTACTCATCATTCTTCTTCCTCCAAACACGGTGAGTGGAGTTTAGACCAAAAAGCTCTATTTTTTGTCTCATCAGACCACATGACCTTCTCCCATTCCTCCTCTGAATCATCCAGATGGTCATTGGCAAACTTCAGACGGGCCTGGACATGCGCTAACTTGAGCAGGGGGATCTTGCGTGCGCTGCAGGATTTTAATCCATGACGGCGTAGTGTGTTACTAATGGTTTTCTTTGAGACTGTGGTCCCAGCTCTCTTCAGGTCATTGACCAGGTCCTGCCGTGAAGTTCTGGGCTCATCCCTCACCTTCCTCATGATCATTGATGCCCCATGAGGTGAGATCTTGCATGGAGCCCCAGACCGAGGGTGATTGACCGTCATCTTGAACTTCTTCCATTTTCTAATAATTGCGCCAACAGTTGTTGCCTTCTCACCAAGCTGCTTGCCTATTGTCCTGTAGCCCATCCCAGCCTTGTGCAGGTCTACAGTTTTATCCCTGATGTCCTTACACAGCTCTCTGGTCTTGGCCATTGTGGAGAGGTTGGAGTCTGTTTGATTGAGTGTGTGGACAGGTGTCTTTTATACAGGTAACGAGTTCAAACAGGTGCAGTTAATACAGGTAATGAGTGGAGAACAGGAGGGCTTCTTAAAGAAAAACTAACAGGTCTGTGAGAGACGGAATTCTTACTGGTTGGTAGGTGATCAAATACTTATGTCATGCAATAAAATGCAAATTAATTACTTAAAAATCATACAATGTGATTTTCTGGATTTTTGTTTTAGATTCCGTCTCTCACAGTTGAAGTGTACCTATGATAAAAATTACAGACCTCTACATGCTTTGTAAGTAGGAAAACCTGCAAAATCGGCAGTGTATCAAATACTTGTTCTCCCCACTGTGTGTGTATATATATATATATATATATATATATATATATATATATATATATATATATATATATGCAGGGGCTACCGGTACCGAGTCACTGTGCGGAGGTACAGGTTAGTTGAGATAATTTGTACATGTAGGTAGGGGTAAAGTGACTATACATAGATAATAAACAGTGAGTAGCAGCAGTGTACTGGGCCGTACGCACTACCCTCTGTAGCGCCTTACGGTCGGATGCCGAGCAATTGCCATACCAGGCGGTGATGCAACCGGTCAGGATGCTCTCGATGGTGCAGCTGTAGAACTTCTTAGAGGATCTGGGGACCGATGCCAAATCTTTCAAGTCTCTTGAGGGGGAAAAGGTGTTGTCGTGCCCTCTTCACGACTGTCTTGGTGTGTTTGGACCATGATAGTTTGTTGGTGATGTGGACATCAAGGAACTTGAAACTCTCCACCCGCTCCACTACAGCCCTGTCGATGTGAATGGGAGCGTGTTTGACCCTCCTTTTCCTTTAGTCCACGATCAGCTCCTTTATCTTAATAATATAATAATAATAATATGCCATTTAGCAGACGCTTTTATCCAAAGCGAATTACAGTCATGCGTGCATACATTTTTGTGTATGGGTGGTCCCGGGGATCGAACCCACTACCTTGGCGTTACAAGCGCCGTGCTCTACCAGCTGGGAGAGGTTGATGTCCTGGCACCACTCTGCCAGGTCTCTGACCTCCTCCCTAAAGGCTGTCTCATCGTTTTCGGTGATCAGGCCTACCACTGTTGTGTCGTCAGCAAACTTAATGATGGTGTTGGAGTCGTGCTTGGCCACGCAGTTGTGGGTGAACAGGGAGTACAGGAGGGGACTAAGCACGCACCCCTGAGGGGCCCCCGTGTTGAGGATTAGCATGGCAGATGCGTTGTTGTCTACCCTTACCACCTGGGGGCGGCCTGTCAGGAAGTCCAGGATCCAGTTGCAGAGGGAGGTGTTTAGTCCCAGGGTCCTTAGCTTAGTGATGAGCTTTGTGGGCACTAGGGTGTTGAACGCTGAGCTGTAGTCAATGAACAGCATTGTCACATATGTGTTCCTTTTTTCCAGGTGGGAAAGGGCAGCGTGGAGTGCGATCTGTTGGGGCGGTATGTGAATTGGAGTGGGTCTAGGGTTTCCGGGATTATGGTGTTGATGTGAGCCATGACCAGCCTTTCAAAGAACTTCATGGCTACCGACGTGAGTGCTACGGGGCGGTAGTCATTTAGGCAGGTTACCTTCGCTTTCTTGGACACAGGGACTATGGTGGTCTGCTTGAAACATGTAGGAATTACAGACTCGGTCAGGGAGAGGTTGAAAATGTCTGTGAAGACACTTGCCGGTTGGTCCGTGCATGCTCTGAGTACACGTCCTGGTAATCTGTCTGGCCCCGTGGCTTTGTGAATGTTGACCTGTTTAAAGGTCTTGCTCACTTCGGCTACGGAGAGTGTGATCACACAGTCGTCCGGAAGAGCTGCTGCTCTCATGCATGCTTCAGTGTTGCTTGCCTCAAAGCGAGCATTAAAGGCATTTAGCACGTCTGGTAGGCTCGCGTCACTGGGCAGCTCGCGGCTGGGTTTCCCTTTTGTAGTCCGTAATTGTTTGCAAGCCCTGCCACATCCGACGAGCATCAGAGCCGGTGTAGTATACATGGAGACCGTTTGAAGTGTTTGATACTGTTCCATTAATTCCATTCCAGACATTACTATGAGCCTGACCTCCACCACTGCTAACACTCTCTCACTCTCTCTCTGTCTCTCCCTCCCTACAGTGGTGCGTCCGACCCTACTGAGGGGTGTTTCATGTACCCGGTGGTGGAGCAGTATCTGCTGACCAAGAAGAGGAGTGTTGTGTTGTTGTGGCGTTACCTGCTGTGTCGAGGCCTCAACCTGCTCACCTTGCTTCTGGCCTGTGTCTACCTGGGCTACTATCTCCGCCTCGCCTCCCTCACTGACCAGGTAACTAACTCTGTGGGTCTAGTCATAACTGACCCTAACTTATTGATCTTGTGTTGACAGTTATCTGGCTAACTTATTGGTCCTACATTGTGATCCTCACCACAGTTCGGCTGTTCCCTGCGCACCGGACTCCTGGCCAATGACACCTCAATCCCCGACCAATTACAGTGCAAGCTGGTCGCTGTGGGCGTGTTCACTTTGCTAAGGTTTTTACGCCACCTTTTTAGCTTTTAGCCAGTAATTTTTGTAGTTGTTGTTCCCTTTTTAAATAAAGTTTACTGGATTGTGATTTCAGCTTTGTTAACCTGCTGGTGTACGCCATGCTGGTTCCCGTGGTGATATACTGCGCTCTGCGCCCCTTCTTACAATCACACACCCATTTCCTGAAGTCCTACCAATCACTGCCCACCACCGGTGTTCTGCCCCGCCCCCAGGGCCAATGGGATGACCTGACACTCTACTTCCTCTTCCTGGAAGAAAACCTCAGCGAGCTCAAGTCATACAAGTACATGAAGGTGTGTGTGTATAGCTCTGTGTGATAGCTGTTAGATTTTCATGTTTTTATTATCACGTGCACAAGTACAGTGAAATAGCTATCTTGCTTGCTCCCAGCAATGCAGTAATGAGTATCAGTAGTACTCTAGAGAATAGTCAAGTGGAACAAAAACACATGAGAAATAGAAATAAGAAGAACATAAGTAAGTAAGCTATATACAGGGTCAGTGCCAATACCATATTTACAATGTGCAGGGATTGTGGAGTGGTAGGGGTAGATATGTACAGGGGTAATGTGACTAGGCATCAGTACATACATGTTAAACAGAGTAGCAGCAGTGCATATGATTGTATGCGAGTGCCTGTGTGTAGAGTCAGTATGAATGTGTGTGCATGATATGTATGTATGTGTGTAGTGTGCATAGAGTAAGTGCAAAAATAGAACGGTCAATGCAGATAGTCCGTGGAGCCATTCTGTTAGCTATTTAGCAGTCTTATGGCCTGGGGATAGAAGCTGTTCAGGAGCCTGTTGGTGTCAGACTTGTTGCTCCGGTACCGCTTGCTGTGTGGAAGCAGAGAGAACAGTCTATGGCTTGGGTGGCTGGAGTCTTTAACAATTTTCCTGCCCTTCCTTTCACACCGCCTAATATAGAGGTCCTGGATGGCAGGCAGCTTGGCACCAGTGCAGTTGCCATACCAATCAGTGATGCAGCTAGTCAAGATGCTCTCAGTGGTGCAGCTGTGTAACTTTTTGAGGATTTGAGGGCCCTACCAAATCTTTTCAACCACCTGAAGGGGAAGAGGCACTGTCATGCATTCTTCACGACTTTTGCATGTGTGTTGCTGAGGCAGAGGGGTGTGTGTGTAATTGTATAGCTCTGTGTTGTAGGTGTTGGAGTTGCTGAGGAGGAGGGGTGTGTGTGAGGGGGAGGACTTTGATGCCATGGGACTGCTTCAGATGCTGTGTCTAGTGAAGATGGATGTCACGGACGGAAAGAGGAGCACCGCAGCTACCTCCAATGCTAGTGACAAAACCTCCAATGCAAATGCTATCCTTAATGCTAAAGCTAATGACAACCCTATTGCTAAAGCTATTCATATTGTTAACCCTGCCGCTGGGGAGGCCAGTAGCAAGGCCCCAGTCCCCAGCCCAGCTTCCCCAGACCCAGGCCAAAGCCAGACCAGGGCCACTGAGATGACAGGTGAGTTTGAAGGGAAAGAGAGGACGGGGAGGAAGGAAGGGGAGAGGAAGCGAATTGGAATGATGGGAAATATAATGAAATTCCAAACCATTCTACAAATAAAACAAATATCCGATAAATGAAATTCGTAATGTTCTGTTTGCCCCTCAGAATTCTCTGCTCTCTTGCCAGGCAACAGTGCGATGACAGGCGGAAGGCAGAGTGACGACGGGGCGGTCCGACAGCGAATTATCTGATCGTTGCCATGAAGAAACAGCCCCAGTGGTTTGTGGGACACTAGGAACCAGAGAGGTTCTAAGAACCAGAGACCCAACAAGCCATTATCTAAACAACTCAGACTAAGGTTTAGCAGAGATGTCTTGATGTCAATGGGACAGAGTTGTATTAACTAACGCCAGTGGTACTAGCCAACAATGCTTTGATGTGATCAGGGATTTGAATCGGACAAGCAGTTTCTGGGTATCTTCCTATATTGAAATCCATACTGCCCAAGGTGTGTGTGTGGTGGCGGCATACTGTCTGCAGAAGGGTCTTTCTATAAACTAGGGTACCACTGAGGATTTCCTACACTGGACAACTTGTTACAGCTGTTGATAAGTCATTGATAATATTCAGCCTTTTTTATCATGTCATTACATGAAGAAATAAGGGGGGATCATAGCTATATTCAGTACAATTCACCAGTTGATTTAAAACCTATGTTTAACCCTTTATCATAGTTGGTGTTTTCGCAGATTTGCCCAAAATCGTGTGACATAAAATGACTTTTCTATCCTTACAGTTATGGCAGTGTAAGTTGTCTTTATATAATATATTAAGCATTAATCAGTTAAATTAGATATTGAACTTGAACTTGTAAGAATCCTGGATCTAGCCGTTGGACAGTTTTTTTGTATTTTTTTGTATAGAGATCTCAGAAATGCAGTGTAACTAGTAACATTTTGTGTGGATCTCCTTATGTTATGGTGTGAAAACAGTTTATGGGCACACAAATCCAAAATCATGTATGCAATTGCAAAATCGAAAGCTTTTAACAGAGTCCCCTTACCTTGATACTTAAAAGCTAAATCGATACTGTTGTCATTAACGTGGTTCTTCAATAATTATGCATAATACTTTTGGTGTCCAGCTGATTAGTTACGGCGTGATATTTTCACACGTCATCTTCTGATCCAGGAAGGAATTTTACGAATGACCGTCAAGTGATGAACAGCAGTTGTGATAGCGCATGCGATGCAACAACTGCCCAAGTGCTGGAAAAAAGGTGTTCGGGAGGAATGTCAAGAATATATTTTGAACAATATGCTGGTGATATCCCTAGCGAATTGATGGTAATCTGTTGTCTGCTTGATTTACTCCTTAGATTTAACAGAGGAAGCATTAAGGTAATACATTGTTTTTGTGCCTCGGATTGGACACAGTCTACTGTGTGAAATTGTGTAGGATAGATTATTGCGCAACACCCAACGCTATTTCTATTCATTCTGGATATAATGACAAATTGCTATGTAATATGACCTGGTAATGAAATAACATGACAAATACATTTTGTTTTCCATATTACACCTGTAATTTTAACCTATACAAGGGGCTTGAAGTAGCCTACTTTACTGTTTTCAGACTAGTATTTCTGTCTAATAAAGCCCTTGTGGGGAAAAACTCATTCTGATTGGCACCCATGGCTGCACCCCTTTCCAGTCATGTGAATTCCATAGATTAGGGCCTAATGAATTTATTTCAATTGACTGATTTCCTTATATGAACTGTAACTCAGTAAAATCTTTGAAATTGTTGTGTTTATATTTTTGTTTAGTATATATTAAGCCCTATATGTACAATTGTATAAATTATACAATTGTATAACATGGAGGTCCTTGAAAATTACATTGAAGTGCTTGAAAAAGACCCTGAAAGTCCTTGAATTTGACTTGGCAATGTCTTTATGAACCCCGCTTAAAGGATGTTTAGTCCTAGGCCGATGTTGTTGTATAGGTGGAGTTATGGGCCAATTTGTATATATTCACTTTTATCACTCTAAATAACTGCATGAAAATCATTTTTATTTTAGTTTTAAACCGTTTTGAAATTTGGAATCCAATGCCACACATTGGCCCCATTATTTATAGAAAGACCCATAACTGTTATTTTTATATGTGGGGTATGCTGAATGGAGAAGTACTTTTTAGTCCAGAAATAAGCTTTCTGGGCCCGGAAGCCGGCTTGTGATACATATGTTTATGTGGATAAACAGAATCAATTATTTGTTATTATCAAATACATTTGCAGCATCATTGTTCCCCTTTGGACAGTTTACACATTGGCTGACAGTGACATAACAGGAGGAATGGGAACCTAACGCTTCGAACACACCGACCGTATCATTGCATTTTGAAACGCCAGAAGTACATTCGTTTCCAATGGAACGCTGCGTTTGCCTTGCAGCATTGCGTTGCAGAGGCAGTTGCAGTGCGTTGGATTTATCGAACATATGCGTCAAACTGTCTGCGTAAACAGGTTGACAGAAATGGTAGCAGAAGGTGAATGTTGAACTTTTGTTGCAAACATATCTAGATGATGCTGCATACTATTTTGCGCAATGACGCAGTCGGCGTATTCAAAGTTAATAGACTTTTGGGAAATGGGAGGGAGTCACACACACACACGCAACTTAAAAGTCCATGTAGAAAAAAAGTTGATAAAGTAAATGGTTATTGGATGAACTCAGTGGGACAAACAGCTCTTGCTTCAACTGTTCAGTTAATACAATTAACCATTAGCCAGTCCACATTTTATCATGGCCACTTTCAGCAGGAGACAACGTTCGCCAACGTTCAGATATAAATGAATGATGTAGAACAAACATACTTCGCTGGTATGTAGAATAAGCATCACATCAGCTCTAGTCATGACATTTCTATCTGCAACGTTCCACAACGCAGAAATTTGACAACGATCCAGAACACACCCAACCCTCACGGAAGTAGCTCCTGAGTGGCGCAGTGGTCTAAGGCACTGCATCGCAGTGCTAACTGTGCCACTAGATCCTGGTTCGAATCCAGGCTCTGTCGCAGCCGGCCGTGACCAGGAGACTCATGGGCGGCGCACAATTGGCCCAGCGTCGTCCAGGGTAGGGGAGGGAATGGCCGGAAGGGATGTAGCTCAGTTGATAGAGCATGGTGTTTGCAACGCCAGGGTTGTGGGTTTGATTCCCACGGGGGGCCAGTATACAAAAAAAAAAAATATATATATATACAGGGACGGCCTGTTCAATAGGGCGATATGGGCGACGCACTGCCAAACGGGAAAAGGAAGGGATTTTTTTTCTAATCAATTATATCACGGCAACAGTAGTTATCAGTGTTGTAATCTGATCTGACTGCCACTAAATGTCAAATCAGGCTAAAGTCGTGCTTCAAATGGCCCCGCCCGTTTTTGGGCGATTTCAGTCAGGTTGAAAATCGCCCAGAAGTCTCTCATAGCCTGTCATGTAAAATCTATTTTTTTTCAAATTTCAAAGCTTTCAATACATTCTCTATGGGTGTCTGTGGGCTTGCACTTACGCGCTTTCGTCATACGTGACGTAACCATGAACGTAACTAAGCAAATAGCGGCTAGCAGCGTCTCTTTGCGACCTGCAGTGTGGCGTTATTTTATGTTTTTAATTTGTACACTTAGTGGCGTTATTTTATGTTTTTAATTTGTACACTTAGTTTACAAACATTCTGCCAACCATGGATTTCGAGTGGTGGGTTTTGGACTGATCTTGTTGATCGTGTACATACCCGCTACGAACGGACTAAATAATGAAAACGTTGCTGGCAGCGGAATCCAATACAGCTGGGAGACTTGGCTGGATGACAGAGTCCCGGACAGAGAAGTGGAGCCGGCCGGCTTCACCCTGGTCGGAGCGGACCTCGATCTGACAGTCACAGGGAAAATCGATCCTGGTAAGAGAGCGACTCTGTACCCCCGAGCCCCGACATTGAACTGCTTTCTGTGTCACTGTGACCTTACTATCTGCCCCGTGAGTTCCCCCAATTGTTTGTTACCGTTGTGTACTGTTGATAATCACAAGTTTACTGGAGAACTGAGACCAAGTAGAGACTTTGGACAGGGTGGATATGGTATAATAAAGGCAGTTTATTCAGAGGTAAAGATATCTGGAATCGCGTGCACGGACTCGTTCGTCAAACTCTTAGGGAGCTATCTGAAGAGAGCCCCGAAAACATTGTGTGCTGACATTTTATACAATAAATGATGTAGGTTGAATCTAGTAGTTCTGATCTTCTGATTGGTCCTGATGAGTTGGGCGAGGTCCCCTCCACTGTTGCATTGGCTCTGAGTCGGGTTCTCTGTCTTCAAATGTTCAGCCTAAAGAGAGGGGATTTGTGTGTGTGTGTGTGTGTGTGTGTGTTTAACAGTGATGATGTGTGTGTTTTAACAGTGATGATGTGTGTGTGTGTGTGTTATCAGTGATGATGTGTGTGTGTGTGTGTGTGTGTGTCCTCAGAGCAAGAACTCGTGAGTTGGAAGAACTGAGAGACCTATGGCGTGGGTGTTGTCCTTGGCCACCTGCTGACAAGGCTGACAAGATAGGACTCTTTTGTCCATTGTTATAGGATAGGAACAGCATTGATTGAAAACAAACGCCCAACACAAAATGGGTCATGCACAAGATTTTAGTCAGACCAAGCTATAACATTATATATTTACTACGACAGTACATTCAACCAAAAGCTAATATAACAAATGCATCAGAGATTATTTATAATCTGTCACAGAAACTGGAATCCATCTCCCCAGATCAGTCAATAAATGCTTCTGGTATTGACTTATATGCTGCCCCTGTCTCCATGTTGTTGCTGGACATATCTTTTTTAAAATGTGTGTAGGTCACCTAAATCATCAGAAAAATTGCCCCTCCTGAGAATTTTTTCAGGAGCCGCCACTGTATATATATATATTACATGTATTCACTAACTGTAAGTCGCTCTGGATAAGAGCGTCTGCTAAATGACTAAAATGTAAATGTATGTTTAAATGTGAAGCATATTTGGCGGGGAGTGAGAGAAGATGGAATGAGATGGATTTTGGCCGACATTCTGCACATTTTCTCATCGATGAAACGTTTGATCTCAATACAGTTCTGTTGTCAAAACTAGAATATGTTATGAATAGAGTCGACTAAGGTTTGTAAACTTTACCCGTTGCAAAAGTTTTTTAAAAATCGCGTTGTTTAGGGCAAAGGCGAATGGAGTTATTGCACACGCGCACTTCACAGAGTAGGCGTTCCCTAACGGAAAGATGCAGATTATGCTAGAACGGGCCAATAGGATCTCGCTAGCTCGTGCTTGGCTCTGCCCCACTCCTTGCTTGTTCTGCCCACTATCGCTCATTTGTTCCCATTGGAAACGACAGGCTGTGATTTCTTGGTTTAGGTATAAAACGCTTTGGTCAGGCTGTCTACGATGGAACGAACTGGTAAGGAAAAGTAGCAATCACGACTGACGGACATGAAATTAATATAGTTTTAAAACCAACACAAATCTGTAGTAAATGACATTTCAGCGACACTTTCGTCTATTCGTTCGGTTTCAAAACTTGTTTGCGTGCACTTGTTACAGTTCACCCGTGTTTGTTTACATGGTCACGTGGACAGAAATACGATCTAATAATAGTTAATAGGGATTCAACTTTAGAAATGTTTCTCACTAGATATGCTTATGTTTTAGAAGAATACTTTATATATCCATATTCCTTGCAGCATTGATCTCAAGTTGACAACCCCGCTGAAAGACACACCAACACACCGATTGGAGAGGTTTGAGCAGGGCAGCCCCTGATGAGCCATTTAAGGGGTTGCTCAAGGGCACAACGGCAGGATAGTACCCTCCGGTTCCTGTCTTATTCCCAGTGGTGTAAAGTACTTAAGTAAAAATACTTTAAAGTACTTAAGTCGTTTTTGGGGGGTATCTGTACTTTACTATTAATATTTTTGACAACTTTTACTTCCCTACATTCCTAAAGACAATTATGTACTTTTTACTCTATACATTTTCCCTGACACCCAAAAGTACTCATTACATTTTGAATGCTTAGCAGGACAGAAAATTGTCCAATGCACACACTTATCAAGAGGACATCCCTGGTCATCCCTACTGCCTCTGATCTGGCGGACTCACTAAACACAAATGCTTCATTTGTAAATGATGTCTGAGTATTGGAGTGTGCCCCTGGCTATCCGTAAATAAATAAATAAATTGTGCCTACTGGTTTGCTTAACATAAGTAATTAGAAATGATTCATACTTTTACTTTTGATACTTAAGTACATTTTAGTAATTACATTTACTTTTGATACTTAACTATATTTATAACCAAATACTTTTAGACTTTTACTCAAGTAGTATTTTACAGGGTGACTTTCACTTGAGTCATTTTTTATTAAGTTATCTTTACTTTTACTCAAGTATGACAATTGGGTACTTTTTCCACCACTGCTTATTCCCCAGTAGATTTTTCTGTTGGGATTCAAAACCAGCAAACCTCTGGTTGCTAGCCCACCTTTAACGCTTCAAACACACCGACTGTGTTATTGCATTTTGGTACACCAGAAGTACATTCATTTCCAATGGAACGCTGCGTTTGCCTTGCACCATTGCGTTGCAGAGGCAGTTGCAGTGCGTTCTGTGTGGTGCATACGTTGGATTTATCGAACGTATGCGTCAAAATGTATGCGTAGACGGGTTGACAGAAATGGTAGCAGAAGGTGAATGTTGAACTTTTGTTGCACACATATCTAGATGATGCTGCATACTATTTTGCCAATGAGACAGTCGGTGTGTTCAAAGCGTTAGATTGAAAACGCTGCGTTTGTTTCCAAATGTGCCTGCAGCAGCCGAGACAACACCTGCCCTATGTCGTCGCCAGAGATCGTCCTGGGGACAGGACAGATGAAGGTGAAGGGCTGCTCCTCTTCCTATAAGGACTGTAAGGTATGGCCCGGGGAAAGCCGTGCCTGGGACTGGAGTGAGACTGGGACAGACGTAAGTTATTGAAACGACCCTGGGTTTATAAACGTGGATATCGACTCTGCCACGCGAGCATGCTTTTGGGGCATAGTCGATGGCTTTGGGCTAGAAGGTTGAGGGTTCGAGACCTGCTCCACGCCTGTTTCATTACGTTGGTGTCAGAATTGATCGGACCTTGCATCCACGAACGTGCGTGTGCTTGCCCGTTGAGCGCGTTCCTGTAAGATGTTGAGTTGTAAGCTAGCGCGAGGACGGGGGTTGTGTAACGACCCTGGGTTTATAAGTGCGGATATCGACTCTGCCACACGAGCATGCTTTTGGGGCACAGTCGATGGCACGCTGGAATTTGGGCTAGAAGGTTGATGGTTCGAGACCTGCTCCCTGCCTGTTTCATTACATTATTATGATAATAGGACATAGAGCCGGACATGGGCTACGTCTCAAATGGCACCTTTGTTACGTGAATTTCTATCCCAATGTTTAAAAAATGAACTTATTACTCAGTCTGTATCCCAGAGGTTGTAAATCTCTAATAATCAGACCAAGCAGCCCAGCATACAATCATCAGGCTTTATTCATGAAAACGTTCTGCCATCACAATTTCAGAGTCCATCTTTTATACTCATACATCATACAAACATCCCTCTTCTCTGTAGGCAGGCTGTAGTTTTCCACTTTAAAACTGCTCTCCTGACCATCAGTACACACACACACACACATACATACATACATACATACATACACATGCCTACACACATACATACATACACATGCATTCCTTAGTTATCGCCGTCCTCACAATATCCTGCATACTCCTTAAAAAACCTAACAGTTTCTCTCCTCCCTAAATTGGGAGGCCCCTTTATCTTGGTTTAGACAGTTCTCCTTTGTTGTCTGGTCTAACTCTTACTCACATTGCTAAATAGTAGCTCAATGCCATAGTCTTTACTGGTCCTACACTCACACATTTCACACAGTTTCAGGGTGTAATAATTAGTCATTAATAATTAATCTATCAACCTTATATGATGATAATGATGTCACTCACAATGTGTGTAGCATCAATCTGGAGTGCATCCTGCAGATCTGGAGGAGGTGCTTCAGAAGGGGGTGGAGACGCTGGTCATCGGGCGGGGCATGAGTGAGGCGCTGCAGGTATGCCCCTAGACCCATACGCACAGACTTCCCCTACTCCCTACACATTTACACTACACTTTCCCTAGACCTACACATTTACCCCAAATATTGTTTATTATATTGACAAGATATTCGAGTGACCACTCTAACAATGAAAATAAATGTCCTCAAAGATAGAAGGCAGGCGGGAGGAGGTGAGATCAGGTGGGACTATTCTAGCCAGTGAGAGGGCAGATACGCGTTAACAATAGGCCATAGAGATATATAGAGGACTCATTTTTGTATCTGTGCCATTATAGCGTCTGTGACAGCCTCAAATGCACTGCCTATTGCTATCTCCATTTTAAAGGAGTACATTTTATTTTTCTTATTTGGCAGATTTTTTCCAACTCATAGGAATCCCCACCCAGTTGACTACTTTAAAATGTTGTAAGCCTTCAATGGCAATGTCCATGCTAAAATTGATTATATCCATGATGAGTCCTCTATATACAGTGGGGAGAACAAGTATTTGATACACTGCCGATTTTGCAGGTTTTCCTACTTACAAAGCATGTAGAGGTCTGTAATTTTTATCATAGGTACACTTCAACTGTGAGAGACGGAATCACATTGTATGATTTTTAAGTAATTAATTTGCATTTTATTGCATGACATAAGTATTTGATCACCTACCAACCAGTAAGAATTCCGACTCTCACAGACCTGTTAGTTTTTCTTTAAGAAGCCCTCCTGTTCTCCACTCATTACCTGTATTAACTGCACCTGTTTGAACTCGTTACCTGTATAAAAGACACCTGTCCACACACTCAATCAAACAGACTCCAACCTCTCCACAATGGCCAAGACCAGAGAGCTGTGTAAGGACATCAGGGATAAAATTGTAGACCTGCACAAGGGTGGGATGGGCTACAGGACAATAGGCAAGCAGCTTGGTGAGAAGGCAACAACTGTTGGCGCAATTATTAGAAAATGGAAGACGTTCAAGATGACGGTCAATCACCCTCGGTCTGGGGCTCCATGCAAGATCTCACCTCGTGGGGCATCAATGATCATGAGGAAGATGAGGGATCAGCCCAGAACTACACGGCAGGACCTGGTCAATGACCTGAAGAGAGCTGGGACTAGTCTCAAAGAAAACCATTAGTAACACACTACGCTGTCATGGATTAAAATCCTGCAGCGCACGCAAGGTCCCCCTGCTCAAGCCAGCGCATGTCCAGGCCCGTCTGAAGTTTGCCAATGACCATCTGGATGATCCAGAGGAGGAATGGGAGAAGGTCATGTGGTCTGATGAGACAAAAATATAGCTTTTTGGTCTAAACTCCACTCGCCGTGTTTGGAGGAAGAAGAAGGATGAGTACAACCCCAAGAACACCATCCCAACCGTGAAGCATGGAGGTGGAAACATCATTCTTTGGGGATGCTTTTCTGCAAAGGGGACAGGACGACTGCACCGTATTGAGGGGAGGATGGATGGGGCCATGTATCGCGAGATCTTGGCCAACAACCTCCTTCCCTCAGTAAGAGCATTGAAGATGGGTCGTGGCTGGGTCTTCCAGCATGACAGCGACCCGAAACACACAGCCAGGGCAACTAAGGAGTGGCTCCATAAGAAGCATCTCAAGGTCCTGGCGTGGCCTAGCCAGTCTCCAGACCTGAACCCAATAGAAAATCTTTGGAGGGAACTGAAAGTCTGTATTGCCCAGCGACAGCCCCGAAACCTGAAGGATCTGGAGAAGATCTGTATGGAGGAGTGGGCCAAAATCCCTGCTGCAGTGTGTGCAAACCTGGTCAAGACCAACAGGAAACGTATGATCTCTGTAATTGCAAACAAAGGTTTCTGTACCAAATATTAAGTTCTGCTTTTCTGATGTATCAAATACTTATGTCATGCAATAAAATGCAAATGAATTACTTAAAAATCATACAATGTGATTTTCTGGATTTTTGTTTTAGATTCCGTCTCTCACAGTTGAAGTGTACCTATGATAAAAATGACAGACCTCTACATGCTTTGTAAGTAGGAAAACCTGCAAAATCAGCAGTGTATTGTTCTCCCCACTGTATCTCTATGACAACAGGCACAACTCCAATGTAAAGTCATATTTGGGTAAGTTGCCGAAATGCCACAGGCGTAAACTTATATCACTGCATTCGTAACAACCTAAACATTACTAAATTTCCTTTCAATCAAATAAGCCTCACGTAGCAAATTAGCAATTACATTTTTTGTTGACCAAATTTGACACTCATTGACCTTCATACAAAAAATCCTCACTTCTTGAGCTTATTTTCATGGACAGATTTTGGGCAGAGTAAAACCTCTCGCTTCCCCTCCGTTTCCCCTACCGTTCACTTTCCCTAGCCCCTACAAACATACTTTCACCAGCTCCTACACATTTACCCTTCCTCTGCCCTACACTTTCCCTAGCCCCTACACACTTCCCCAGAGTTCTCTCTCTGGCTGTGTTCGAGAGCGTCAAAACTGTGATGTACCATGGGTAAATTGTGAATGACAGATCTACAAATAATATTTAGTAGTTATTTATGATGCAAGGTGATTTGTAGATCAATCAGTCTCAACTGCCTTTAAAGGAAAGCTCCACCCAAAAACTAACTTTTGGTATTTGTTTCATTAGTCCATTGGTTGACATAGTCCCAAAATGTTTTGCTTGTCAGCAATCAAGTTTAAGATATGTAACTCAAAATACAGAAATCATCCCTGTATGATGCAATTTGCATCATATGATGCAAAACACAGCATCATATGATACAAATTGCATCATACGGGGATGATTTATGTATGTGGAAAGTTACGTATCTTGAAAACTTGATTGCTGACAAGCAAAACATTTTGGAACTGTCAACAATGGACTAATGAAACAAAAACAAAATGATAGTTTTCAGGTGGAATTTGTCTTTTAAAGTCAGCTGCAATGTTGAACACGCTGTCTCTCTAAAGGTCCCGTCCTCAACTGTGGATTTTGTGAGACAGAGAGGAGTGGAACTGAGGGTGCTGCAGACAGAGAAGGCAGTCACAGAATACAACAACCTGGTTGGCCAGGGAGCCAAGGTGGGCGGCGTCTTCCACTCTACCTGCTGATGACATCACACCACAGAGGTGGCCAGTAGGAGAAGTCTGAAAACTTGGCACGATTCAACAGCGTCATATTCATTACAGCACACCGTAGCAAAACGTTTTGCAATGGAAAACAACAATGGACATTTTGCATTGTAGTCCCTCCCTATTTTCTTCTGTTTGGTGCCTGATGAACACAACCCTGGGGTGCATTTAGCAAGGTGAAACATTCAAAACACCGTAATGAACAGCGCTGAAATGACTTAAATGTGAATAAAGGCTTGTTTTTGTCATTTGGTTTCATTTATTGGTCATTAAAAAATACGTTTTTGTCCTTAACTGTAGCAACTAGGAATAGCAACACACAGATCAGAAAGGTGACCTCAGTGATACTCTGGCTTAGTCTCAGGCTGAATCCCAAATGGCACCCTATTCCCCTTTACAGTGATCAAAAGTAATGCACTATATAGGGAATAGGGAGCTATTTGGGACGCATCCTCATTCTAGTCGACCATAAAGGACAGTCAGCCAGTCACACACTAACAATATAAACATATTGTTTAGTAAAAATTAATGCAGTAAGGAAGGGCCAGCTTTGAGGTCTGCTCCAATGCTGAGGAGTAGCAGGTCAGGGGTGGGAGAAGACAACAGACAAGATAGAAAAGAGGAAGAGGAGAGAGAAAGAGAGATGGATGTTTAAAGAGGTGTGTTTGGTGTCAGCGACGGGCAGGTTTGGGCATGATGAAGACCTTGACAGGTTTGCCGAAGGGAATGGTTCCCTCAGTGGCACCCTCTGCTGGCTGGAGGCCTTCAGTGCTGCTGTCGCTCCACGCCGTTTTACAGAGACGAGATGAGCTGTATGCCAGCAGCAGCCTCACCTCGATCTGACACGCCTCTGAGAGAGAGACAGAGAGAATGGGGCCGGGGGTGAGTTTGTGTCCTTACCGTTCCATGTGGAGTGAGACAGGTAGAATGTGTGTGGGTGTGCCCCCACTAGTCCATGTGCTGTGAGACAGGTAGTGTGTGTGTCCTCACCAGTCCATGCGCAGTGAGACAAGTAGACCTGTGTGATGAGGCGGTGGCGGTGTGGTCCAGGACTCCTGAAGTCTCCAGGTTTAGGCTGAATCACATGAGACTGGCCGTCTGGATACAGCACCTGGAGAGAGACAAAATATGTGTGTGTGTGTGTGTGTGTAAAAGACTAAACGAACTATTACAACTGGGACCAACACTTCATCCATCAGCAGGAGAGAGGAGAGGGTACAGCTTATATACCGCTAGGGTCCTGGACTAAGGCTGCATTCTGATTCTCTACCCTTCACCCAGAAATGTGCACGTGTATCTACCTTATGCATTTACATTGGATTGGTGCAAACATGGCTGGAGGGAGTTTCCACTATATTCCAGTTAATTCCTTTTAAATCCATGAGGGTGAGTATGAGTGCACACTTTGGGAGAAGGTTGGAGAATCGGAACGCAGCCAAGGGGTGTGTGTACCAGAGACCTTCTATAACAGGGTATGTTCCTGTACTTTGACAGTGTTGTGGGGTCTTGTACGTGCTCCAGCGTAGCGTCAATGTCTAGCGCCACCACCAGGCCAGAGGTGAAACGCAGCGGGTTGTCAGACTCTCCTGTTGGCTCGATGATGGTCGCCGACGCATGCTGGACCTGCCAGCCAATACAAACCACACCTGGGTCAAATACGTGTGTGTGTGTGTGTGTGTGTTCTGTGTACCTGTTTAGGTAGTTGAAGGTTTAAGAAGCCACTGTCTCAATGTGGTCTGAAGGATCTTGACCAGTTCTCCAACAGCTTCCCCACAAAACTTTCCTGGAGGTGGGCCAGCTCCACCACAAACAGCCTGGAGGCATAGAGGTGAGGATTAATCAGAATACCAAAATAAAAGGGTGTACTTTCTGCAAGGTCAATGTTGCCACCTTGTGGCTATAAATTAAATCAACAATTCAGTTCCCCAATTCATAACAAATGCATCAGTTTCTGTTCTTCTCCTATAGGAGAAATAGTCTGTATTTTTCCTTCCTCCTGAAGGAATTTCTCACAGACACTGATGAGAGGTTCAACTCTGCAGAGAGATGAGAGGGGTTGAGCTGCTTGACAGTTATAGACATGGACGGTGGGGGTGTTTGTGTGTGTACTAACCCTCGCCTGGTGGGCGGGCAGTCAGGACTAGCTGTAAGGTCTTAGCCTGTAGTCTGACATGGTGTATGGTGGCCACCTGTCTGTTCTCCAGACCACTATATAGGAACTCCAGTTTATACGTCTCCTCCAGCATCTACAAACACACACACACACAAAACATAACATTATATACACACAGCTCTGCACATCACATTACTGTCTAGGGGTAACGCCACCGGCTGAAGACACATATACACTGAGTGCACAAAACATTAGGAACACTTGCTCTTTTCATGACAGACTGACCAGGTGGCCCTTATTGATGTCACTTGTTAAATCCACTTCAAATCGGTGTAGATGAAGGGGAGGAGACAGGTTAAAGAAATATTTTTAAGCCTTGAGACAATTGGATTGTGCATGTGTGCCATTCAGAGGGTGAATGGGCAAGACAAAAGATTTAAGTGCCTTTGAATGGGGCATGGTAGTAGGTGCCAGTCGAACCGGTTTGAGTGTGTCAAGAACTGCAACGCTGCTGGGTTTTTCACGCCCAACAGTTTCCTGTGTGTATCAAGAATGGTTCATCACCCAATGGACATCCAGCGAACTTGACAACTGTGGGAAGCATTGGAGTCAACCTGGGCCAGCATCCCTGTGGAACGCTTTTGACACCTTGTAGAGTCCATGCCCCGACGAATTGAGGCTGTTCTGAGAGCAAAAGGGGGTGCAACTCAATATTAAGAAGGTGTTCCTAATGTTTTGTACACTCAGTGTATATGCTCCTCTTCCCACCGGAGACCGGGGTTCAATCTATCCTTCAAACTGTATCTCCCATCTGCCTGTATCCCTCCCATTTAAAATCTGTCTAAATAAAGTGAAAAATACAACAACAAAAAAAGCACTTTAGTTTGTGCGTGTACCTGTTTGGCAGCAGCAGTTGCCATGGCGTTGTATTTAAGGCAGAGGGGGACGGCCATGGTCCACAACTTCTCCTGCAAGGCCTGTGGGAAGGACACAAGGAGAGGAGACAAGGAGATGAGGAGAGGCAATATGATTTGGGCATTCTGGTCAAATGTAATGCAGAAAGACACCTGTCTATCCAGATCCAGACACACCTTGGTGAGCAGTAGTTGGCAGCGGAGGTAGGTGGCAGAGAAGTCAGCAGCCCCTGCCAGCTCTGTCTGTAGCTTCCCCAGTCTCTGTAGGTCTCTGAGGAGGACATACACACACAAAATAGTCGCTTCAAAAATAGTTTGAAATGTTTTGATAGTATGTGTGTGTGGATGTGCGTGTAAGTACCTGATAGTAAAGATGAGCAGTTCCTGAGCCCCGGGGTCCTGTAGGTTGTGTATGGTGCTAACTCTGCTCACTCTGTTGGAGGAACAGCTGAGCAGACTCCACACTGCTGGATCCTTCTATACCACTCACACCTGGGGCCTGCTTCCTCCCTGGTAACTACACACACAATCATAACACAGATTATAACACAGGGGTCTCGACATAGATTGGTGGGTCTAGTGTCTGAAAGGGGTGTGTGTGTGTGTGTCTTACCCTGAGAGGAGGTACTAGGAGAGAGAGGCTGTCTCGTAGGTAGGTGTAGTGTCTAAAGGTGTGGTCTGAGAACAGAGCTGTCATGGTGGGACAAGACTGAGCTGCATTGAATACCAGCACCAACAACAATCTGTTACGCTAGGTCAGGAACACACAACACAAAGGTAGGTATAGCTGTGTGTGTGTGCGTGTGTGTAGGATACAGGCAGGGTCATCCATGTCTGGTTCAGGGGTGTGGAAGTAGGGGTGAGTACTGAGCAGCTGGGTAGGATGACGACAACCTAGAAACTTTAGACACCTAGAGAGAGAATGAGAGGGAGAGAGATGAAGAAAAAGACAGCGATGAAGAGAAATAGACAGAAAGAGAGTGTTGACTTTTAAAAGCTTTTTATTGAATCACTTGCAAGGTGACACACACAGGCTTACTTCCAGACAGAGTTGCGGTCGGTGGGGTACTTAGTGAGGTTTTTCAGCAGCTCCAGCAGAGCCAGTTGGATACACTCTTTTGTCGACACATTGGTGAAACACAGCAACTCATGTAGCGCCTCTCTGATGTCACGAGACGAGTCCTACACAGGTTACACATTTCAGTTGTTTATTTTTATTCATTCAAAAAAGCATATATATTCTAACATTTAGAAATGTTCTACTTTCACCTTGTAAGTGTGGAAACCACATGTTTGATACCATTCCATTGCCTCCATTCCAGCCATTATGAGCCGTCCTCCCCTCAGCAGCCTCCACTGGCGTCTGCGTATGTGTGTGTGTGTATATGTCTCTGTGTGTTGGTGTGTGTTACCTCTAGTACAGCCAGTACAGTATCCAGCTGGTCTTCTCTCAGGGTGATGTTAGTAGAGATCTGTCTCAGAACATGGATGGACTGCAGCCTGACTTCCTCAATCTCATCATTAAACATGTCAACCAGGAAGTCCAGGCACTTCTCAGCAAAGCTGGCAGATGATTGGGCGAGAGCAGAGTGCATCCACAGCAGCAATACACACCTCTACAGATAAAACACACACAGGCACATTATAATTTATACACACACGCACACAAACGCACTCTCTCTCCCTCTCTGAGCCTCCACAGTCTTTACAGAAACAAAAAAACAACACACACAGAGACACCCGCCAAACACAAACACTGACACACACACCCTTACCGACAAACACGCACTTACCATACATCTCGTCCTCCAGTCCCCCGAGGTGATCAGGTTGACAGCTGACGTGTCCACCTTCTCCTTGGGAGCATCATCAGCCCATTTCCTCCCCGAGGAGAACTCACCAGACGAATAGAGCTCTTTGGCCCACTCATGAGCAGTACGTATCCTCTGAAATATAGATAACATTATTATTAATATATGTTTTTATTTAACCTTTATTTATGGATTTGTTGGTCAAGATACCTTAAAAAAATAAAAGTAGGGGCGTGGATCAGAAAACCTGTCAGTATCTGGTGTGACCACCATTGGCCTCATGCAGTGCGATACATCTCCTTCGCATAAAGTTGATCAGGCTGTTGATTGTGGTCTGTGGAATGTTGTACCACTCCTCTTCAATGGCTGTGCAAAGTTGCTGGATATGGCAGGAACTGGAATACGCATCGATCCAGAGCATCCCAAACATGCTCGATGTGTGACATATCTGGTAGTATGCAGGCCATGGAAGAACTGGGACATTTTCAGCTTCCAGGAATTGTGTACAGATCCTTGCGACATTGGACCGTGCAATATCATGCTGAAGCATGAGGTGATGGCGGTGGATGAATGGCATGACAATGGGCCTCGGGATCTCGTCACGATATCTCTAAGCATTCAAATTGTGTTCATTGTCCGTAGCTTATGCCTGCCCATACCATAACCCCACCGCCACCATGTCTGCCATCTGCCCGTTACAGTCAAAACCGAGATTAATCCGTGAAGAGCACCCTTCTCCAGCATGCCAGTGGCCATCGAAGGCAAGCATTTGCCCACTGAAGTTGGTTACGACGCCGAACTGCAGTCAGGTCAAGACCCTGGTGAGGACGACGAGCATGCAGATGAGCTTCCATGAGACGGTTTCTGACAGTTTGTGGAGAAATTCTTTGGTTGTGCAAACCCACAATTTCATCAGCTGTCCGGGTGGCTGGTCTCAGACGATTCCGCAGGTGAAGAAGCCGGATGTGGAGGACCTGGGCTGGCATGGTTACACGTGGTCTGCGGTTGTGTGGCCGGTTGGATGTACTGCCAAATTCTCTAAAACAACGTTGAAGGCGGCTTATGATAGAAAAATGAACATTCAATTCTCTGGTAACAGCTCTGATGGACATTCAATTGCGCGCTCCCTCAAAACTTGAGACATCTGTGGCATTATGTTGTTTGACAAAACTGCCCATTTTGGAGTGGGCTTTATTGTCCTCAGCACAAGGTGCACCTGTGTAATGATCATGCTGTTTAATCAGCTTCTTGATATGCCACACCTGTCAGGTGGATGGATTATCTTGGCAAAGGAGAAATGCTCACATTGTTTTTGAGAAATAAGCTTTTTGTTCATAAGTTCTGGGATCTTTTATTTAAACTCACGAAACATGGGACCAATAACTTGATACTTGTTGCGTTTATATTTTTGTTCAGTGTAGATAACAATATGTACAGATTACACTACATACAGATTACATTACAAACAGTGCATTCGGAAAGTATTCAGACCGCTTGACTTTTTCCACATTGTTACGTTACAGCCTTATTCTAAAATGGATTAAATAAAAACAATTCCTCATCTACACACAATACCCCATAATGACAAAGCGAAAACAGTTTTCATTTTTGCAAATGTATTAAAAATTAAGAACAGAAATACCTTATTTACATAAGTATTCAGACCCTTTGCTATGAGACTCGAAATTGAGCTCAGGTGCATCCTGTTTCCATTGATCATCCTTGAGATGTTTCTACAACTTGATTGGAGTCCACCTTTGGTAAATTCAATTTATTGGACATGATTTGGAAAGTCACACACCTGTCTATATATAAGGTCCCACAGTTGACAGTGCATGTCAGAGCAAAAACCAAGCCATGAGGTCGAAGGAATTGTCCGTAGAGCTCCGAGACAGGGTTGTGTCGAGGCACAGATCTGGGGAAGGGTACCAAAAACTTTCTGCAGCATTGAAGGTCCCCAAGAACACAGTGGCCTCCATCATTCTTAAATGGAATAGGTTTGGAACCACCAAGACTCTTCCTAGAGCTGGCCGCCCGGCCAAACTGAGAAATCGGTGGAGAAGGGCCTTGGTCAGGGAGGTGACCAAGACCCCAACGGTCACTCTGACAGAGCTCAAGAGTTCCTCTGTGGAGATGGGAGAACTTTCCAGAAGGACAACCATCTCTGCAGCACTCCACCAATCAGGACTTTATGGTAGAGTGTCCAGACGGAAGCCACTCCTCAGTAAAAGGCACATGACAGCCCGCTTGGAGTTTGCCAAAAGGCACCTAAAGGACTCTCAGACCATGAGAAACAAGATTATCTGGTCTGATGAAACCAAGATTGAACTCTTTGGCCTGAATGCCAAGCGTCACGTCTGGAGGAAACCTTGCACCATCCCTACGTTGAAGCATGGTGGTGGCAACATCATGCTGTTGGGATGTTTTTCAGTGGCAGGGACTGGAAGATTAGTCAGGATCGAGGGAAAGATGAACGGAGCAAATTATAGAGAGATCCTTGATGAAAACCTGCTCCAGAGTGCTCGGGCTTCGGGACAAGACTCTGAATGTACTTGAGTGGCCCAGCCAGAGCCCGGATTTGAACTCGATTGAACATCTCTGGAGAGACCTGAAAATAGATGTGCAGCGATGCTACCCATCCAACCTGACAGAGCTTGAGAGGATCTGCAGAGAAGAATGGGAGAAACTCCCCAAATACAGGTGTGCCAAGCTTGTAGCGCCACACTCAAGAAGACTCGAGGCTGTAATCGCTGCCAAAGGTGCTTCAACAAAGTACTGAGTAAAGGGTCTGAATATGTAAATGTGATATGTAAATGTGTTATTTAAGGGTTTTATTGTCATTATGGGGTATTGTGTATAGATTGAGGGAAAAAAACTATTTAATCAATTTTAGAATAAGTCTGTAAAGTAACAAAATGTGGAAAATGTCAAGGGGTCTGAATACTTTCCGCTTCAGATCAAATCAAATTGTATTGGTCACATACACATATTTAGCAGATGTTATTGCGGGTGTAGCGAAATGCTTGTGTCCTAGCTCCAACAGTGCAGTAGTATCTAACAATACACAAATCTAAAAGTAAAATAATGGAATAAATAAATATATAAATATTAGGAAGAGCAATGTCGGAATGGCATTAACTAAAATACAGTAGAATAAAATACAGTATATACATATGAGATGAGTAAAGCAGTATGTAAACATTATTAAAGTGTCTAGTGTTCCATTATTAAAGTGGCCAGGGATTCTATGTCTATGTATATAGGGCAGCAGCCTCTAAGGTGCAGGGTTGAGTAGCCGGGTGGTAGCCGGCTAGTGATGGCTATTTAACAGTCTGATGGCCTTGAGATATAATGCTGTATGCTTCCTCTGAAGATACATTTTACACACACACACACACACACACACACAACGTACCCCGAGGTCTGCTCTAGGAAGTGAGGACTGACCTGCAACATGTTACCCTGAGGAAGAGAGGAGAGAGGGATGAGTGGAAGAGAGGCGGGGGAGGAAAGGAGAGCCATGACTATCTGAAAAGTAAGACGTGAACGAGTGGTTTGTGTGTGTGTGTACTCACCAGTGTTTTGGTGGCCTGCACCCTGACTACCCAGGATCCATCAGAGATCATGTGACTGATCTTCCCAAATGAGTTGTCGACCAGACGGACTTGCTCATTGGACGACGGGATAGGCACGATGCTGATTGGACAGATGACACCTTTAGTCACCAATCACACAGTAGTTTTCATCCCCCCAGTCAGTGAGTTTGTGTGTTCAGTGTGTAGTGTTGGTCTTGTTTGACATTGCAGCCGACATTGCAGGCGACTGCTGACTGACTGATCAACAAATTGACTTGCGTCATAAATAACCATTCATTATTATTTGTAGATCAGTCTGTCAGTCACAATTTACACACAATGCATCATGGATTTGGTGCTCTTGAACATAGTCAGTGTATGTGTGTGTGTCTTACCTCTCTGGATAGAGCTGACTCAGGACCCACACCATCTGAACGGCAGCCGAACGCACCTGCTCATAGTCATCACACAGCAGCCGACAGGCCTAGACACACACAATTAGAGAGAAACGCACACACACAGCAACCTAGAGGCTTGGAAAGAAACACATGCATGCACGTGTGCGCCCGCACACACTCTACCTGGTTATATATGGTATGTTGAATCTTCATTCCCCTTTCATGCAGTTGCAGCTGAAAGGAAGAGCAGAACATTGAATAATCAATCAGTCAATCTATAAATCTATCCAGCCGCTGAACACATGCCAACAGTATTGAGAGGCTTCCTACATGTTTGGTGTAGGCATCATCCACCTAACTTTCACCTGTCCTGTGTTTTCAGTGCAGTGCAGACTATTGAGAGGGCTCTCAATATCCACTCAATAGACTGAAGCATTGTTTTGGGCATGCATTCTAAGTGAGCATGCTAGTATGTATATTGGGACATAACAGGAGGAAGTGAGGTCATACCATGGCTTTGATGGCCGCCGTGTGCACCCTGGGGTCCTGGTCGGCAAAGTAGTCACTGATGACGCTTTGCACGTCTCTCACACACACTCCGCCAGACACCCTGGAAGGAGGAGGAAGGGAGAGTGGAAAGTAGTCACTGATAACACACTTCTGCTGCACATCCCACACACATACACATCTCTAACAGACATGGTGATGTGATGAGTGGAATAGTCTGGTTAAACTAAATAAACATGTCATGTAGTAAATGTTTTTATCGTTGTTGACTCAACTACCCTGGTTAACGCAAATAAATATACACACCCGGAGCACCGCCCCCAATCACAGCTGGAACCAATCCCTGTCTGTCTTTACTTAGGGGCATGTCCACATTGCCCAGGCAACCCAGGTGTTGCAAGCATTTATTCCTCACGCCGAAATATGTGTCTGACAGGTGCTGAGAGAGAGGGATGAGAGAGAGAGAGAGATAAGATGAGAGACATCGATGAGGGGGGGATGAGCGAGAGAGAGATGAGAGAGATTGATGAGCCAGGAGGATGAGAGAGATTGATGAAAAAGAGGTATGAGAGAGATTCAACTTGCAGACCACATCTGTGTGTGTGTGTTACCTTGCAGGCCACCTCTATGAGTATTAATTTAAATTGAATTTAGAGTATGTGTCTAACAGTAGGGCTTTCTGGGAGCTGGGTGCCGATGACCAGCAGCTGAGCCAGGACCTGGTGGGACTCTGGACACACACAAACATTTACACACACGGAGAAGAAAACTCAGAGAGAGACATGGACTAGGTCAGAGAAGATAAGGGAGTGTGTACGATGTACTAAGTGTGTGTATCAGAGTGTAACTTACTCTCTGTGTTGAGGGTGTCATCTAGGATACTCTCAGGGTTGAAGTTCTGTGTCTTACTAAGCAGGCCGACCAGAGAGGCAATCTTCAGCCGCACCGAGTTATCCTGCTCCTACAGAGACATACACACCCACACAGTTACAAGTTATCACTCTCCTACAGGAAGACACAGGAGCAAGGTGAGGGAAAGAAGGGATGGAAGAAGGAGAGACAGAAAGGATAGAAGTAGGAGGGAAGAAAGGAGGGACCATGGAAGGAGGGAAGAGGATAGCTGCTCTTAGCAACGCGGGTCTATTTATATAACTAGCATTGCTTTCAATTGTATTGGGTTGCACAAAAACAGTCCGCGGGAAGCCAGAAGTTAAATACAATTACATTTTAAGTCACTGTGCCGGTGGGCAGGAAGTTTGGTCATTATGACGGGGGGAATTTGAGACAATATCTAAAAGTTTGTATTATTAAACAGACTTTCCAAACGTGGGTCTGTTGTAGACCCAGTTCTTCTCTGCTTACCTCATGCCAAAATAAAAGTCCCCCACAAGTTATTCGTTTTTTGTCCACATATGGCACATGTGCAGGACTTTTATTTGAACATGAGGTAAGCAGAGAGTACGTTGGCACAATACGTTAAAATTTAATTTGATTGAACTTCTGGGTTTCCGCTGACAATTTTTGTGCAACCCAATACAATTGAAAGCAATGCTAGTGTATGTAAATACACCCACATTGCTAAGAGCAGCTAGGAAGAGGAGGGCTGCTTTACCTTGTAATAGTGTTCCAGGAGGAGAGAAGGGAGAGAGATGAAGGATAGAAAGAGAAGAGAAAGGACAGAAGGAGAAGATAGAGGGATGTAAGGAGAGATGGGAGGATCAAAGCCAGGGCCACCATACTTTGTAGTAGTGTTCCAGCAGTATGCGCACCACCCCCTCTGCCTCCACGGAGCTGCGGGCGAAGTGCAGCAGGTACTGCAGGGCATCAGTGGGGTTGGAGGCCTTACACAGGTCAATGTGCAGCGCTGCAGACTTACTTGGCTTGGTCAGACGGAGCTTCTTGGCTGGAGCCTCCTCTTGGGGAAGCTGTTGATCAACAGAGACAATGGATTACCTTTTCTTTTTCATTTTGTTATATGAGATCATACGGATCTGGATAACTAAACGGCATATCTAAAGCTGTAGGGATCGAACTATAGCTAGGATCTAGACAAAGCTAGCCAGGTCCCAGATCTGTTTGTGCTCTTTCCCACTCTATTGCTGTCCTTGTCATAATTTGCATGATCATAACAGAAACAGACTGGCACTCAGGCTAGAACAAGATTGCAATTGTACACCAACCAGCATAACTAGCTACCAATGGCTATTTGTTCAGATCCCTGTGACCCAAGGTAGTTAGTTAGCAACTTTTCTATGAGGCCTATATAATATCTCTATCTAACTAAAGTTAATGAAAGAGGATGCATGATGTTATCAAAAACGATGTGATGTTATTGCAGAATGCAATACGTTAGCTAGCTACGAAACACTCAGACGCAGTATAACGTTAGCTAGCTATTATTGAAAGAACAACGATGGTTACAAAGTGAATGTTTTTTCCGTAATCATGCGTCTACCAACCTGGACAACTTTGGAGAATTCCTCGTAAACTCGCTTTTTGAGATGTGCTGCCATTTCCAACGAAGTTGGTTAGCTAGCTAGCGGCAGCTACCAGTATTTTTGTTGTTGTTGAAAGCGCCCAAAACATCGTCATCAAGCGTCGACGGAACGCGCAATTCCGGGTATAAGTATGCTTCCGGTTCCTTAACAAGTTCTTTCCTGTCAGCGGCCTCCGACAAGATGGCTGTGCAAATCTCCAAGAAGAGGAAGGTTTGTTCACATTTCATCCCAAAATGGTCTTTATAACGGATGCAGTTGTAGCAAATTGGGATGCCATGTGTTAGCAGCATGAATACGGAGTTGGTTGTAGCCTTGATTGGCGTCCTCGTCCCCTAGTCTAAAGAGGATTACCACAGATGCTAACTACCGGTACAAGCAATCCTCACTCCGCTAGTGAACGTGCCAAGGGGTGCATTTTATACCGTACTAGCGAGTAAGAATAACCATAATAACACCATTCAAAGCATTTAGTTGCAACTCTGATTGTCGTGAGTCTGTAGATTGGTGGTCAGTATCTAGTTGGCTAATGTTAAAGTCGCACAGGTGGCAGGCTACTTTATTTAAACATTTGCGCTACCCAGTTCACCAGCTCTGTAACTTGCTGACCAATGATGCTATCTACAGTAGCACGTTCACTAGCGGCTATGTGACTACAATCATGTTCCCTACAACCTAGCTAACAATGTACTGCATTTTTGTGTTATGCTTGGTTAGTTCGTCGCGGACGGAATCTTCAAAGCCGAGCTGAACGAGTTCCTGACGCGCGAACTTGCCGAAGATGGGTACTCCGGTGTGGAGGTGCGTGTGACCCCAACCAGGACCGAGATCATAATCCTGGCCACAAGGTAACGTTACCGGTATGTTTGTAGGTAGTGGTGATATGCTGGCTTTAAGGTTTATTGTTGGTAGTGTAAGGGGTTGGGTGGTATCCATATTTTCATGCCGTCCCGGGATATACCGTATTATCGATAGTGCACACAAGGGGCACTTCTTTCCAAATGTAAAAAAGACCCCCAAAAAACGTCACCAGAATGATAACAAGTACTAAGGTACCGTATTTTCCGCACTATAAGGCGCACTTAAAAGCCTTTAATTTTCTCAAAAAACGACAGTGCGCCTTATAATCCGGAGCGCCTTATATATGGATCAATTGGTTAATTGGTTGATCCATACTGGTTGTACACGGCGCTCAAGGTGCTCTGTCAAAATGTTTCAGTATGAAAAACCAATAAAAACAATGTAATAATAATGAAATGTTTCAGTACGACTGGTAAACTACAAAGCCGCATTACGGTAGCCAGTACACACCGGTATTGTGCTTACTCACAGTCCCACACCACTTGTGTGTGTATAAAGACCCCAAAATGGCACCTTTCAAGAGACACGCTTACGACGCAGAGTTCAAGCTCAAGGCTGTCGGTCATGCAGTAGAATATGGGAATAGAGCAGCAGCGAGAGAATTCAACATTAATGAATCAATGGTACGGAAGTGGAGGAAGCAAGAAGATGACCTGCGCCAAGTAAAGAAGACTAAACAGAGTTTCCGCGGGAACAAAGCGAGATGGCCACAGTTAGAGGACAAACTCGAACAGTGGGTTGTTGAACAGAGAGCAGCAAGTAGAAGCGTCTCTACAGTCACTATTCGAATGACGGCAACAGCGCTAGCACGGGACATGACAATCGATGAATTTCGAGGCGGTCCTTCTTGGTGCTTTCGTTTTATGAAAAGATGTAATCTCTCCATCCGCACACGAACTACCGTCTCGCAGCAACTGCCAAAAGATTACCAAGAAAAGCTGGTCACTTTCCGCGCATACTGCAAAAAGAAGATCACTGAAAAGAAGATCCGGCCAGAGCACATCACCAACATGGACGAGGTTCCACTCACCTTTGATATTCCCGTGAACCGCACTGTGGAGAAAACGGGGACCAGTACGGTGTCTGTATGTACCACAGGGAATGAGAAGTCATCCTTCACTGTAGTTCTCGCCTGCCAGGCTAATGGCCAGAAACTTCCACCCATGATTATTTTCAAGAGGAAGACCTTGCCAAAAGAGAACTTTCCAGCCGGCGTCGTCATCAAAGCTAGCCCGAAGGGATGGATGAGGAAAATATGAGTGAGTGGCTGAGAGAAATTTACGTCAAGAGACCGGGTGGCTTTTTCCACACAGCTCCGTCCCTATTGATCTACGACTCAATGCGCGCCCATATCACCGATGCTGTCAAAAAACAAGTGAAGCAAACTAATTCGGAGCTTGCCGTCATTCCGGGTGGATTAACTAAAGAACTCCAGCCGCTAGATATTGGTGTCAACAGGGCATTCAAAGCTAGGTTTATTAATTGGATTGACCAATGATGTATATAAACCCTGGATTGCTGACGCTATGTATTGGCCATTGAAAGGCACGCCCCATTGGGAGCGGTCTTCCATAGGAATGAATGCAGTGCAAAATTGCATGTATTTTTTGTAGTAAGGACAGGAACATAGGTAATCTATAACAATTGTACTAAGGAAGAAATATGTATTTTTTATGTTTAGCTCACATAATATAGTTTAGAAGTATGCATTAAGGTGTCTAATAATATAATTAATGTGGCAACAAATGCATTTCTATAGCTTCCAAAATGTTTTTACGATGGTGAGTGCCAAGATATAGGCACAGTGGCTTAAACACAGTGCCCCCTATCAGTCGTCTAGTGTATATTTAAATCATTGGGATTGACTCTGTAGTTATACTGCTGATGCCGTGACCACGACAGTGCACAGCCATTTATCCCAATCAATGTAGTTTCCATTGTCTACAGTTAGGTGGCCTACACAGAGAGCCCATCAAAGCCATTGGATGACAGGTCTGGCAAAAATTAACTTTATTTCAACTTTCACCAGTGTTGTTCCAGCACATAAACCTATATACATATGTTTGACTCCCAGCCAATGCACGGTGTGAGCCTCCTCTTCCCTTAAGTGATGTTGCGATGATGAGTCGGAATGGGACACGGCCTGTCTATGGGGACACTGGGTCAGGGTCACGTTCAGTTCCCCAGAGCAGCGTGTCTCTTCAGTTGAAGATGCATTTGTCTGAGAAGGGCTCAATACAGTACAGGGAGTTGGCGTCAGATGGTTTCTAGTTAGGGAGTTGGCTGTGTAGGTACCTGGGGTGTGTTCATTACGTTTTGCAATGGAAACTGTTTACCGTTTTAAGAACGGAACAAAACGGGCAGGGACCTACCTCAATTTGTCCAATAGCAACTTGTTTTCGTTGCAAAATGTTTTCTGTTTGGAGTAAACTGTTCCTGTTGCAACATAATCTGTGTAATGAATACACCCCTGTAGGGCTGTCCCTGACCCAAGACCTCAGGGGGGAAAAAAGGTGGACCTCCACAAGTCTGGTTCATCCTTGGGAGCAATTTCCAAACGCCTGAAGGTCCCACGTTCATCTGTACAAACAATAGTACGCAAGTATAAACACCATGGGACCATGCAGCCGTCATACCGCTCAGGAAGGAGACATGTTCTGTCTCCTAGAGATTAACGTACTTTGGCGCGAAAAGTGCAAATCAATCCCAGAACAACAGCAAAGGACCTTGTGAGGATGCTGGAGGAAACGGGTACAAAAGTATCTATATCCACAGTAAAATGACTCCTATATCGACATAACCTGAAAGGCCGCTCGGCAAGGAAGAAGCCATTGCTCCAAAACCGCCATAAAAAAGCCAGACTACGGTTTGCAACTGCACAATCGTACTTTTTTGAGAAATGTCCTCTGGTCTGATGAAACAAAAATAGAACTGTTTGGCCATAATGACTATCGTTATGTTTGGAGGAAAAAGGGGGTACCTTGCAAGCCGACGAACACCATCCCAACCGTGAAGAACGGGGGTGGCAGCATCATGCTGTGGGGGTGCTTTGCTGCAGGAGGGACTGGTGCGCTTCACAAAATAGATGGCATCATGAGGAAGGAAAATTGTGGATATGTTGAAGCAACATCTCAAGACATCAGTCAGGAAGTTAAAGCTTGGTCGCAAATTGGTCTTCCAAATGGACAATGACCCCAAGCATACTTCCAAAGTTGTGGCAAAATGGCTTAAGGATAACAAAGTCAAGGTATTGGAGTGGCCATCACAAATCCCTGACCTCAATCCTATAGAAAATGTGTGAGCAGAACTGAAAAAGCGTGTGCGAGCAAGGAGGCCTACAAACCTGACTCGGTTACACCAGCTCTGTCAGGGGGAATGGGCCAAAATTTAAAGGCAATGCTACCAAATACTAATTGAGTGTATGTAAACTTCTGACCCACTTGGAATGTGATGAATGAAATAAAAGCTGAAGTAAATAATTGTCTTATTATTCTGACATTTCACATTCTTAAAATAAAGTTCAGACTTCTACTGTATGTCTCGTGTGCAACTGCTCAACAAAAAAAATCTTGTTTAGGTGGCTAGTTAGGCATGTGGTGGGTTAGGGTTGGTGAAAGTGGTCTGCTGTAGAAAGGGCCATATTGCCAAAGCGTGTTCATCATAATGAGAACACTGGTGCCTTCCAGCTACTGTCCTGCGTCATTCAAACTAATCTGCATTTACTAACTCAAAAGTATCTATTGATTTGAATGAAATGGATAATCAGATTTTTAAATAGGGGAAAAAACATGTTAAATATGGCTGGAACATTCAGGAAAACAAGATGACTGATAACTGATTGCAGACATGGAGCACATTTAGTGTTATTGTTTCAGGACCCAGAATGTTCTGGGCGAGAAGGGCCGTCGCATCCGGGAGCTGACCGCTGTTGTTCAGAAGAGGTTTGGCTTCCCTGAGGGCAACGTGGAGGTAAATGCACACTACTGACATGCATCCACTAGACACTACACATTAGACATACTCCCTAACCCCAACATCAGGGAGCTGACAACTGTGGCTCAAGAGAGGTTTGGCTTCTGACTGCAGTGTGGAGGGTAGAGGAATATGATTGTGTGAAGTTTTTAAATGAAAACAAGTGTGAATTCCACATTTTTACAAGGGGATGATTTAAAATGTGTTAATCAACTTACAACAACCAACCTCAAGTGTGTCTGAAGGTAGAATATATGACTGGAGAAGCTCTAGCTTTGCCTTTGCACCAGACTGTTAACCAGAAACCACTTTCCTTCGGTGATGATACGATGACGAGTCGGAACGGGACACAGTCAGTCTCTGCGGTCACTGGGTCAGGGTCACGTTCTGTGTCTCTGGGTTCAGTTCCCCAGAGCAGCGTTTCTCTTCAATTGACGACATTGAGGCATTTGTCTGAGAAGGGTTCAATCCAGTACAGAAAATGTGTGAATTCAGATGGTTTCTTGTTAGGGTGTTGGGTGGCTAGTTGGGTAAGATGAAGGTAGTCAGTGATGCATGAAGTAGTCGGCGTTCTAGAGACTATTTCCACCACAATTTAAGAATGTGAATCGCGATGCTACACTTCTCTGCTGTGGTGGTCCTGGGGCTATCACATTGCAGTACCCGCACCAAGCTGTATGCTGTGTAGTCTCTCTCGCTGTTTGTGTAGAAGGTTAACCTCCCCACTCTCTCCCTCTCTAGCTGTATGCTGAGAAGGTTGCAACCCGTGGTCTGTGTGCCATTGCTCAGGCTGAGTCTCTGCGCTACAAGTTGCTGGGAGGACTGGCTGTACGTAGGTAAGCCTAACCCTGACCTCTAACCTGTTGCATCTAGACACTGCTCGAAGGTCAGTTATGCATTAACCTGTAATGGTGCAGGTTTCACTCTGTAATGGTACAGGTTAGGATTTGGGAAGGTAAGCGGGTTCTAGATCTGTTCAGGAGAATATTGGCGGACTTATCTTTGGTTTTTCCACTAATCTGTGCTGTCGTCAATCACCCCAGACCGTTTGGAAGTATAATCTGCATTATTTAGTTATCTTGAGCAGCCCCTAGTTAGCTTAGCATGCTAACATGAGTATCTCTAGGAATCCATTGAGCACATGTCCCTGCTGTTACAGTCCACTTTCTTAAATTACCTTTCTCATGATATACAGTAGAATGTCTCCCTTCAATGATGATACGATGACGAGTCGGAATGGGACAGTCCGTCTCTGGGGACACCTGGTCAGGGTCACGTTCTGTGTGTCTGGTTTCAGTTCCCCAGAGCAGCGGGTCTCTTCAGTTGAAGACATCGAGGCATTTGTCTGAGAAGGGCCAGGAAAATGGCTCATAATGTCAGATGGGAGCTCATAGTTGACATGTGTATTAAACCCATTTTCTTTCTCATTTACATTTTCTCCTATCCCCCTCCCCTCTTTGCACTCAAATTTTCCTCCTCGCCCTCTCTCCTTTCTTCCTCTCTCACCATCTCTCTTCTCTTTCCTCATCCCTTTCCTCTCCCAGAGCTTGCTATGGTGTGCTGAGGTTCATCATGGAGAGTGGTTCTAAGGGTTGTGAAGTGGTGGTATCTGGGAAGCTGAGGGGTCAGAGGGCCAAGTCAATGAAGTTTGTTGACGGCCTGATGATCCACAGTGGAGACCCAGTCAACTACTACGTAGACACCGCTGTACGCCACGTCCTGCTCCGACAGGGTGAGTACCAAATAACCCCTATACCCTACCCCTAGATTATTCTGCTCTGTCAAGGTGAGTCATCAACAGTAGGATTTTTGGTCTTTTTAAAGGTGAAATGTTTTCCTTCAGTGATGATACGATGACGAGTCGGAACGGGACACGATTTGTCTCTGGGGTCGCTGCGTCAGGGTCACGTTCTGTGTCTCTGGGTTCAGTTCCCCAGAGCAGCGGGTCTCTTCAGTTGAAGACATCGAGGCATTTGTCTGAGAAGGGCCAGAAATGACTTAAGTCTAGTCATATTATGATCAACCTCTTTCTTGCTACACCACACATGGGCTAACCCTCATACTCTATACGCTTCACTGTTCTACATATACTGTTCTACGTACGCAGAATGATAACCGTTGTGTAGAGGGCACTGATGTGTTTTTGTTTGTCAGGTGTGCTGGGCATCAAGGTGAAGATCATGTTACCATGGGACCCCAGTGGTAAGATCGGCCCCAAGAAGCCTCTGCCAGACCATGTGAGCATTGTGGAGCCCAAAGACGAGACTATCCCCTCCACCCCCCAGTCGGAGCAGAAGGGGGCCAAGCCAGAAGCCCCAGCAGCCATGCCACAGACTCCTGTACCCACCGCATAGACAGGTACTATACCCTAACACTAACCCAGCCACTGCATAGTAGAAATGTACTGTAAATCAGTTGTTCTCAACTGGTTTTGCCTCTGGGCCCAAATTTAACCAGGTTGCCTCAGTTGTGACTCAAAATGTGTATTGTGGGGGAAAACCACAAATGCAATCTGGGAGATTCTTTTTAATGCTAGATTGAAAATGTAGTAATTGTGGAGGAGGCTTGTGGTAGTGAAAGGACTCCCCATGATTGTCTCATTTAAAATGCTGCACCAAAGAGTATCTCAGGGTGTGATGGAGTAAGTTTGTTTACTTTCAGGGCGACGTTTAGTTTACTCTTCCCTTCAGTGATGATACGATGACGAGTCGGAACGGGACACAGCCTGTCTGGGTTCACTGGGTCAGGGTCACGTTCTGTGTCTCTGGGTTCAGTTCCCCAGAGCAGTGTGTCTCTTCAGTTGAAGACATCGAGGCATTTGTCTGAGAAGGGCTTCCTGGCTTTATGAAATGTGTCCCCCAAATGGCACCATATTCCCTTTTATACTTTTGAACAGGACCTTTAGTGCTCTGTTCAAATGCAGTACCCTGTATTGGGAATGGGGTGCCATTTGAGTCTGACAATATACTGATGGCGGAATTGACCTTGAGCATGTAGCTAAGCTAATGTATGTTGTGTATAATTCACAAGCTGTGATTGAGGTAGGGTTAGGGATGTTGTCCTAATTCTGTCTTTTCTTCTCCAGGTGTCAACCATTTGTTCAGATGGATGCAGGACCCTGAATTTTTCTGTACAAAAATAAAACTTGGAAAATACACCTTGTGTTGTCTCAACTTGTGAAATATTCCTGTTCCCAACCATGCTAAGTAATTTAATTATATAATAATTGGTAGGGTGTATGGCACTTTCAGAATTGGAGAATGGCAAGGAGTCTGGGTAGCCAGTTAAGGAAATGCCACCTCAATAACTACTTAATAAAAAAAATTAAAAAAGCCCTTGGTTTTTGGAGAATAATATACCTTGTAAAAACAGAACTATTCATAACTTTGTCAGTACCAACAAAGGACCTAGAACTCAATTGTTTTATAAACCTGGCTTGTTTTAGCCCATGGTCATGTTCTAAAACTTGTTGCTGTCATGGAAAGTCATTCCTTGATGTGTTCTAGGACAACAGAACCCTCTTCTGGTAATTAACCCTGATATCAAATAATGTACTGTCCTTTACATACCTGTGTTGGGGTTATTTACTTGTTGCTAGAAGCTTATTTTATACTGAACAAAAATAAATGCAAATTGCAACGATTTAAGATTTTCCTGAGTTCCAATTCATGAGGAAATCAGTCAATTGAAATAAATTAATTAGGCCCTTATGGATTTCACATGACTGGGAATATGTATTCTGTTGGTCACAGACGCCTTAAAAAAATGGGCCTCGGGATCTCGTCACGGTATTTCTGTGCATTCATGCCATCGATGATATGCAGCTGTGTTCGTTGTCGGTAGCTTATGCCTGCCCATATAATAACCCCACCGCCACCATGGGGCACGCTGTTCCCAACGTTGACATCAGCAAATCTCTTGCCATACACATGGTCTGCAGTTGTGAGGCCAGTTGGCCATACTGCCAAATTCTCTAAAACAACTGAGGCGGTTTATGTTAGAAATTAACATTAAATTACCTGCCAACAGCTCTGGTGGACATTACTGCAGTCGGCATTTCCAATTGCACACTCCCTCAACTTCGGGACATCTGTGGCATTGTTGTGACACAACTGCACATTTTAGTGGCATTGTGTCCTCAGCACAAGGTGCACCTGTGTAATGATGCGGTTTAATCAGCTTCTTGATTTGTCACACCTGTCAGGTGGATGGATTATTTTAGCAAAGGAGAAATGTTCACTAACAGGGATGTAAACACATTTGTTTGTATGATTGTGGCTAGATGAAGTACAGCTTCATCTCGTTGTCAAATCGGGGTTAACAGTTAACTGTAGCACTTTAGCTAACACATCCTTTTCATAACTTTATTCTCCTAACCTGCTACGTTAATTATCCTAACATGCTACGTTAATTCTAACATGCTACTGTTTATTCTCACTCACCTGCTGTGTTAACTCCTAACCTACTGCGTTAGTTCCTTCTAACCTGCTATGTAACGTCACTTCTGTCGTTAGCTGAGTTAAGTTTAGCTAAAATGCTACAGATGTTAACAAACCATCAGTCCCGACAGACCAGTATCACTACACCGGGGCAACCGGCTCACAAAACGAATGCAATCACTTTTCACCCGATGTAAACTCCTTTTACTCTGCGAACCGGACCATCTAAATTGAATCCCCTCACTCTGTGTTCCCTGAACTTCCCGATAGTGAGACGTGTTGACATCACCCAAAACATTTCCCACAACAGTCAGGAAGAAAAATGAGTCTTCAGACAGCAGATCGCGGGGCAAACAGTCTTCTCCGGAGCTACTGGTAAGGGAAGAAGTGTTCATAGTCATTCATTTCAAGCCTCTGGTATGTTTGGAGGAAGTTGCTTATTTGTTAACTGCTTCAGCTTCTCGATAACCTTCAGCTTGAGACGGTGTAAAGTAGCCAAAAATGTTATCTCCCTCTCTAGGTCCTGGATATAGTCTGCTTTGTCACCGATTTACGCAAATCTGGGCCAGTATTCACGAAGCGTTTTAAAATAGGTGTGCAGATCCAGGAACAGTTTTGCCCTTTATATCATCATGAAATGGTTATACAGGGGACCTGTTACTAGAGTAGCACTCCTACTTTAAGATACTTAATGAATATCTTGTAAAAACGCCTTTACTTTTTAAAAGTTATTGGCTCTCATACTGACAAGTGTTGAGGGCGTTGCTGCTCTGCTGACCAGGCAGGTAGGCACATCCTTAAGACTACAGTATTTATCTACCATGTAGCAGGTGGACTATTCCTTATCTTACAAGGAGGCAGTCCACCTCAGGAGACCAATAGCTTAGAAATGCACTTGCTGACTGAGTGCCACATTGTTATGTAGGCGGTGTCCCTGCCCTTTCATTACATTATTAAATGCATTTTTTTTGTATTGCTTATTTGAAAGAATTAATTTAATGTTTTTGTGCTTCATTGATGTGTAGTGAAAGTACACAGAATAGGTGAAGTGGGCCTTGACCTTACTCTTCCTAACAGTTCCTAGTCCTTTCCCAAACTGTTTCAAACCCTAACTGTTCCTAACCTATCAAATGTTATTTTCCACATGCGCCGAATACAACAGGTGTAGACATTACAGTGAAATGCTTACTTACCAACAATGCAGTTAAGAAAATAAAAAAAGATTAAAGAGCAGCAGTAAAATAAAATAACAGTAGGGAGGCTATATACAGGGGGTACTGGTACAGAGTCAATGTGCGGGGGCACCGGTTAGTTGAGGTAATATGTACATGTGGGTAGAGTTAGTGACTGCATAAATAATAAACAGAGTAGCAGCAGCGTAAAAGATGGGGTGGGGGGGCAATGCAAATAGTCTGGGTAGCCATGACTAGCTGTTCAGGAGTCTTATGGCTTGGGGGTAGAAGCTGTTAAGAAGCCTTTTGGACCTAGACTTGGCGCTCCGGTACCGCTTGCCGTGCGGTAGCAGAGAGAACTGTCTATGACTAGGGTGGCTGGAGTCTTTGATAATTTTTAGGGCCTTCCTCTGACACCGCCTGGTATAGAGGTCCTGGATGGCAGGAAGCTTGGCCCCAGTGATGTACTGGGCCGTACGCACTACCCTCTGTAGTGCCTTGCGGTCGGAGGCCGAGCAGTTGCCATACCAGGCGGTGATGCAACCAGTCAGGATGCTCTCGATGGTGCAGCTGTATAACTTTTTGAGGATCTGGGGACCCATGCCAAATCCTTTCCATCTCCTGAGGGGGAATAGGCTTTGTCGTGCCCTCTTCACTACTGTCTTGGTGTGTTTGGACCATGATAGTTCGTTGGTGATGTGGACACCAAGGAACTTGAAGCTCTCAACCTGTTCCACTACAGCCCCGTCGATGAGAATGGGGGCATGCTCAGTCCTCTTTTTTTTCCTGTAGTCCACAATCATCTCCTTTGTCTTGATCACGTTAAGGGAGAGGTTGTTATCCTGTCACCACACGGCCAGGTCGCTGACCTCCTCCCTATAGGCTGTCTCATCGTTGTCAGTGATCAGGCCTACCACTGTTGTGTCGTCGGCAAACTTAATGATGGTGTTGGAGTCGTGCCTGGCCATGCAGTCATTGGTGAACATGGAGTACAGGAGGGGACTGAGCATGCACCCCTGAGTGGCCCCCGTGTTGAGGATCAGCGTGGCAGATGTGTTGTTACCTACCCTTACCACCTGGGAGAGGCCCATCAGGAAGTCCTAACCCTAATAGTCCCTATCCCTAACCTATATCCCTCCTTGTCCCAAACCTATCCTAACCTTAGCAGTCTCCCTGTCCCCAGAGTTGTTCTGTAGTGCAGCTGAACGTGGGTGGTCATGTGTTCACCGCGTCTGCGCTGCGTCAACACCCCGACTCCCAGCTGACCTCCATGTTCAGTAGTGGTCAGCAACCCAAACTGCCCACCAACGCCAAGGGACGCTACTTCATCGACTGCCACGGGACGCACTTCGGAGCCATTCTTCAGTTCCTACGCACCCAGCGCTTGCCCACAGAGAGTGTTCTAGAGGTTTGTGACACGTACACAAGCCCATATGTCGGAACTCTGAACCAATGAGCGAGCCCATCGTGCATTGATGTCACCTTCCCTGAGACCTGTTACCCCCAGTAGTTACAACAATTCATAACATGAGAGTCCTACGTGTGTGTGTGTGTGTGTGTGTGTGTAACAGGTTTACCAGGAGGCTCTCCACAATGACATCTGAGCCCTGGTGAAGCAGCTGCAGGACTTTGGAGAAACAGTGGGGAGGCAGCAGTTCATCTCCAGGGTCCCCAAATACCTGGAGAACCTGGAGGTACAATGGCCCTGACATAATAACAATACCTAACCCCTGTGGCCTGGGGTGATCCAGCAGTCTAAGCCGCTGTTTCTGGATTACATGTACTGAACTACCGCGGCGAGCATGGGTTTGAAAACTTCTCTAGCACTATCTCCTCCATCCACTCCTCTATATATCCTGTCCAATAAACACAAATGTGAATGGCGTGGGACTGACCCACTCCTTTAAAAATAAAACTACCTCTACAATGTCACTGATAAATATGATATATTATTTATGGTCACTGTTGTATGGCTACCAGGTGTTGGTGAGAGTGGCCCGAGCGGAAGCCATCGCCGCCCGTCACTCTGCTGTCATCGTGTGTGTTCTGAAAACCTGCGTCGCTATGACAACGCCATCAACAACCTGGAGGAACAGGAGGTGGTGCAGTTCGGACCGTGGAAGGTGTGTACATGTACTGGGGGTTGTGTGTGTGTATATACCTGTACTTAATAATTGATGTACAGTGCATTCTGAAAGTTTTCAGACCCCTTGACTTTTTCCACATTTTGTTATGTTAGTCTTCTTCTAAAATGTATTTTTTTTTATCCCCCTCATCTACACACAATAGCCCATAATGACAAAGATAAAACATGTTTTTAGAAATGTACTCAGTACTTTGTTGAAGCACCTTTGGCAGCGATTACAGCCTTGAGTCTTCTTGGGTATGACGCTACAAGCTTGGCACACCTGTATTTGAGGAGTTTCTCCCATTCTTCTCTGCAGATCCTCTCAAGCTCTGTCAGGTTGGATGGGGAGCGTCGCTGCACAGCTATTTTCAGGTCTCTCCAGAGATGTTTGATTGGATTCAAGTCCGGACTCTGTCTGGACCACTCAAGGACATTGAGACTTGTCCCAAAGCCACCCCTGTGTTGTCTTGGCTGTGTGCTTAGGGTCGTTGTCCTGTTGGAAGGTGAATCTTCACCCCAGTCTGAGGTCCTGAGTGCTCTGGAGCAGGTTCAAGGATCTCTCTATACTTTGCTCCGTTCATCTTTCCCAGTCCCTGCCACTGAAAACATCCCCACAGCATGATCTTGCCACCACCATGCTTCACTGTAGGGATGGAGCCAGGTTTCCTCCAGATGTGACGCTTGACATTGAGGCCAAAGAGTTAAATATTGTTTTAATCAGACCAGAGAATCTTGTTTCTCATGGTCTGAGAGTCTTTAGGTGCTGTTTGGCAAACTCCAAGTGGGATTTCATGTGCCTTTTACTGAGGAGTGGCTTCCGTCTGGCCACTCTGCCATAGGCCTGATTGGTGGAGTACTGCAGAGATTGTTGTCCTTCTGGAAGTTTCTCCCGTCTCCACAGAGGAACTCTAGAGCTCTGTCAGTGACCATCGTATTCCTGATCACCTCCCTGACCAAGGCCCTTCTCCCACGATGGCGCAGTTTGGCCGGGCGGCCAGTTTTAGAAAGTCTTGGTGGTTCCAAACTACTTCCATTTAACAATGATGGAGGCAACTGTGTTCTTGGGGACCTTCAATGCTGTAGACATCCTTCGACCTCATGGCTTTGTTTGTGCTCTGACATGCACTGTCAACTGTGGGACCTTATATAGACAGGTGTGTGCCTTTCCAAATCATGTCCAATCAATTGAATTTACCACAGGTGGACTCCAATCAATTTGTAGAAACATCAAGGATGATCAATGGAAACCGGATGCATCTGAGCTCAATTTCGAGTCTCATAGCAAAGGGTCTGAATACTTATGTAAATACGGTATTTCTGTTTATTTGTAAAACATTAGCGAAAATGTTATCAATTTTAGAATAAGGCTGTAACGTAACAAAATGTGGATAAAGTTAAGGGGTCTGAATACTTTCCGAAGGCACTGTATATGACTACTACCAATGCCTCAAAGGCACTTTCAACTGGAAACATTGTTTTTTCACAACAGTTCCTCTTTAACAGGGGGTTCTCTTTCAAGTACTTGTTTCGATGTTTCGCTATGGGATTTGCTGGATAGGCGGATCACTAATGAAGAACCAATCACACCACGTGTCACATGGCTAACTTTCGAGACCTGGTTAGTCCACGCTGCAAAGCATAAGCTAACTTGGCTAGCTTGCTGGAAAGCAAGCTAACCACACTAGCATTCCTACGTGCACAACGGTAGTATTGCTAGCTCCCTTATCGTTTAGTTTAACCTAGGTTCACTCGTTTGTATTAATTAGACCGACCGACCGCTTTAGCCTCATGGCTCCACTTTTGTGGGAGAATATCAGCCTGAAGTCGAATATTGCTTCCACACGGTTTCCTTCGGCTAGCACTGCTTGGAAGGAACATGCTCAGTCAGCACTCACAACCCCGAGTCCTGTGATCACTGCAAAATGCTGACTAGGGTGGGTTTGAGGAGGAGGCTCAGACGTACCTCTGTCTCTGCCCCTTCTCTCACTTCAAAGCCAATGGCCAAGGCTGAGATTCCGCTCCCCACAGCTGGGGTGAGGTTATGGATAGCCTCGATTCACTCTCTGACAACTTGGTGTCATGGGAAGGCAAGTTAGGGCAAGCCACCACAAACCGATGCTGGTACTAAGACCTCACTCAACGAGCTGTATAAGGCCATAAGCGGCGCTCCTAGTGGCCGGGGACTTTAATACAGGCAAACTTAAATCCGTTTTACCTAATTTCTACCTGCATGTCACATGTGCAACCAGAGTAAAACGAACTCTAGACCACCTTTACTCCACACACAGAGACGCATACAAAGCTCTCCCTCGCCCTCCATTTTGCAAATCTGACCATAATTATATCCTCCTGTTTACAAGCAAAAACTAAAGCAGGAAGTACCAGTGACACTCTCAATACGGAAGTGGTCAGATGATGCTACGCTACAGGACTGTTTTTCTAGCACAGACTGGAATATGTTCGTCCAATGGCATTGAGGGGTATACCACCTCATTCACTGGCTTCATCAATAAGTGCATCGACGATGTCGTCCCAATAGTGACCATACGTACATTTCCTAACCAGAAGCCATGGATTACAGGCAACATCCGCACTGAGCTAAAGGCTAGAGCTGCCGCTTTCAAAGAGCGGGACACTAATCAAGACGCTTATAAGAAATCCTGCTATGCCCTCAGCTGAACGACCAAACAGGCAAAGCGTCAATACAGGACTAAGATTGAATACTACTACACCGGCTCTGACGCTCATCGGATGTGGCAGGGCTTGAAGACTATTACGCACTACAAAAGGAAACCTAGCCGCAAGCTGCACAGTGATGCAAGCCTACCAGACGAGCTAAATGCCCTTTTTTATGCTCGCTTTTAGGCAAGCAAGACTGAAGCGTGCAAGAGAGCACCAGCTGTTCCAGACGACTGTACGATCACGCTCTCCGTAGCCGATGTGAGCAAGACCTTTAAACAGATCAACATTCACAAAGCCGCGGGGCCAGACGAATTACCAGGATGTGTACTCGAAGCATGCGCGGACCAACTGGCAAGTTTCTTCACTGACATTTTCAACCTCTCCCTGACAGTCTGTAATACCTACGTTTCAAACAGACCACCATAGTCCCTGTGCCCAAGAAAGCGAAGGTAACCTGCCTAAATGATTACCGCCCGTACCACTCACGTCGGTAGCCATGAAGTGTATTGAAAGGCTGGTCATGGCGGAAACCCTAGACCCACTCCAATTCGCATACCGCCCCAACAGATCACACTCCACACTGCCCTTTCCCACCTGGACAAAAGGAACACCTATGTGAGAATGCTGTTCATTGACTACAGCTTAGCGTTCTAAACCATAGTGCCCACAAAGCTCATCACTAAGCTAAGGACCCTGGCACTAAACACCTCCCTCTGCAACTGGATCCTGGACTTCCTGACGGGCCGCCCCCAGGTGGTAAGGGTAGGCAACAACACATCTGCCACACTGATCCTCAACACTGAGGCCCCTCAGGGGTGCATGCTTAGTCCCCTCCTGTATTCCCTGTTCACCTACGACTGCGTGGCCAAGCACGACTCCAACAAATTAAGTTTGCTGACGACACAACAGTGGTAGGCCTGATCACCGACAATGATGAGACAGCCTATAGGGAGGAGGTCAGAGACCTGGCAGTGTGGTGCCAGGACAACAACCTCTCCCTCAATGTGAGCAAGACAAAGGAGATGATCGTGGACTATAGGAAAAGGAGGGCCGAACAGGCCCCCATTAACATCGACAGGGCTGAAGTGGAGCGGGTCGAGAGTTTCAAGTTCCTTGGTGTCTACATCACCAACATGGTCAAAACACACGAAGACCGTTGTGAAGAGGGCACGACAACACCTTTTCCCTCTCAGGAGACTGAAAAGATTTGGCATGGGTCCCCAGATCCTCAAAAGTTCTGCAGCTGCACCATCGAGAGCATCCTGACCGGTTGCATCACCGCCTGGTATGGCATCTGCTCGGCATCCGACCGTAAGGCGCTACAGAGGGTAGTGCGTACGGCCCAGTACATCACTAGGGCCAAGCTTCCTGACATCCAGGACCAATATACTAGGCAGTATCAGAGGAAGGGCCAAAAAATTGTCAAAGACTCCAGTCACCCAGGTTATAGACTGTTCTCTCTGCTACCGCACGGCAAGCGGTACCGGAGCGCCAAGTCTAGGACCGAAAGACTCCTTAACAGCTTCTACCCCCAAGCCATAAGACTGCTGATCAATTAATCAAATGGTCTCCCGGACTATTTACATTGACCCCCCCCCCCCCCCCCCGGACTATTTACCCCGGACTATTTACATTGATGCTGCTACTCGTTGTTTATTATCTATGCATAGCATGGGCGGTGTGTTCAATAGGGCGATATGGGCGACGCACTGCCAAACGGGAAAAGGAAGGGAATTTTTTTCTAATCAATTATATCACGGCAACAGTAGTTATCAGTGTTCACGTCTGATCTGCCAGCCACTAAATATCAAATCAGGCTAAAGTCGTGCTTCAAATGGCCCCGCCCGTTTTTGGGGCGATTTCAGTCAAGTTGAAAATCGCCCAGAAGTCTCTCATAGCCTGTCATGTAAAATCTATTTTTTTCAAATTTCAAAGCTTTCAATACATTCTCTATGGGTGTCTGTGGGCATGCACTTACGCGCTTTCGTCATACGTGACGTAACCATGAACGTAACTAAGACAATGGCGGCTAGCAGCGTCTCTGTTGTGACCTGCAGTGTGGCGTTATTTTATGTTTTTAATTTGTAGACTTAGTTTACAAACATTCTGCAAACATTCTGCTTTGAACTGATCTTTCGGTTTTGGACTGATCTTGTTGATCGTGTACATACCCGCTACGAACGGACTAAATAATGAAAACGCTGCAGGCAGCTGTAATCCCAATACAGCTGGGAGACTTGGCTGGATGACAGAGTCCCGGACGGAGAAGTGGAGCCGGCCACCTTCACCCTGGTCAGAGCGGACCGCGATCCT